GTAAATATCTTAATAACATAACTCCTTAGTTCTTTAACAGACATCATGCCAATGTCCACCCAATCTTTTGACCTTTTTTCTGCAAAATTTTGAACCATACTCAATATTTCTTCCTCATCAGTTTCACCAAGAAAGATGCTGTTTGCACAACCCCTGATTGTTTCAGTCACATCATCAACTTTTGGCATTTTAGCAGCAAGACTTGGACCAACATTAACATACAGTAGTTATGATCAACATGGAGTAGCTAAAGAATTTATTCATTAAGTTCCTTATGATCTTTTACAAAGTATTGTGAAATACCTGACCATGTCTTATGATGTTTAAAACACTTTTAATTAACATTTTAGATTTTAGCTACTGTTCTACTAAAATTAGCACCATTTCATGGGTTTAAGGTTTTAGCTMTTGTTTTGCTGTTTTAACTGCAGCAGTTGAGTTTTAGCTTATTCACAGCTGTTCCTCAACCCTCAGCATCCTCTCAGCATTTTATCAGAAAATACASTTGTTTCCTCATTATATTAGAACTGAACTGGTATTTAATGGATTTCATTCYTTTTAAGAGCAAACTGGCGATGTGCTCCAAGTTCTCAGGTTTTACTTTTACAGTCTTGGTGTGAGGATTACAGAGTTGAGTTGGACGAAAAGGACTACTTTAATGCAGCAGCCGCTCTCATCTGCCATGTTTCCTCCACAAGCACCAGCCTGCATACAAACAAGATATCAGCATGCTGCGGTGGCATGGGAGGGGTGCGATGAGCGGGGGGCAAGGTTTCACAGCCTTTCTATCAACACTCCACCACACATATCAAGGCAATGTCAAAAAGTGACACCTGGAAGGAAAACTCTCCCCCACATGCAGCCTGTCTGAAGTGGAGGGCTATTTAAGGATACAGCAGGAAAAGAGAAATGTGAGCGAGTGTGAGGTCACGTCAAGCTGAAGCAGGACCGCTTTCTGCTTTGCATCTCAGCTGCGCACAGCCTGCGAAGCTCCGAGTGACATAAGCAGACAGACGGGTTCGCTGAATTGAACGTGACCCAAAGTGAGTGGGGGAGGTGCGGGGGCGTAATGGCAGCTCTGAGACTGGAGGGAAGAAATCAAAGTGCTCACAGTTGTGACACGTCGCTCCGGAGTATCCCGTTCCCGAACAGTCGCAGGAGAAAGAGCTCCATGTCTGCGAGCAGCGGGCTCCGTGCTCACACAGGTTGGGCAGGCATCTGAGAGAAACAYCAGAAAGACAACAAATCAGAGCAGGAAAATAACCTCCACAACATACTGTTTATCTATTAATTCATCTCCAGGCTGCAGGGAAAACATACAGATAAAAAGCTCATCCTAATGAACCCTTGTTGTGTCTGATTGGTGGTGAAAACTAAAAGAAATGTAATTTATATTGCAGTAAATAAACAACGACAGACCAATTATCACATAAAAAAAAACTGCAGCCGAGAATGTTTGGCTTTATTGCTTCTGTAATTAATTGATTATCACAACCGTTACTAATTAATTTTCCTGTCAGCTGACTAATTGAAAAATCTTCAGGTTCCTCCTCAAACTCTCATCTTCACTGGGCTTTTTAGGGGATCACTAAGATATGATTTAATTACAGCTGACCTCCAACAGAGGCTTTGAAATAAAACAATAACAAGCYGAAATTTAACATCTGACAGGTTAGAACAACAATGAAAACAGTAGATTTTTATGAACAGAGGACTTGTCCCAAAACTATTAATACCACCTGCTGCCAAAGGTGAAAGGATAATGATTTTGCCTGTGTCACTGTGTGTGTGTGTGTGTGTGTGTGTGTGTGTGTGTGTGTGTGTGTG